CCCCTTGAGCTTGCACGCCTTATGATTCAGGCGTGCACTTCTTCGTTTTTTAACAGCAAAATCCTTGATGCATGCTTTTATAGCTTGCGCTTCGCTATAAATCACCCAAGCGATCCTTTTCATAACTCAGTACTATTACTGAAAGGAGAAATTGAAAATAACAATGAAATTTTGATATAAAGATACTCAAAACTACTTTCTAAGATGAACACTTGCTATCGCAGCTACACTTACAAGGCCGCAACTCGTTCTACGAAGAAATGGCCCGCTTTTATGACGAATCGAGGTGGGATACAAATGCAAACAAAAAATCCAACAGCTGGGCCCCCTTCGCGTCTCAGTTAACAGCGACAGCTGTACACCAAAAGTCGGATGACTTCAGCTCCCGTACGTTGATAATACAAAAAGCTGCATGATCAGGGGTACTTTAGGTGGTACTTTTAGTTTTGGATGTATTTTTGATTTCAGCTTAGATTTGCCGACTGTGTCGCCGCTTTACAGCCGTGAAAATCAAATATTTTTTGCGAATAAAACTACATGAAAAATCCAGCATCACTCACACATGCATAATGTGCCATTTCGTTTGACAAGTGTTGCCGGAATCGCAATCTTTGTGCATCGACACCAACCCGGACCAAGTATTTATGCACCCGTACTATATAATAGGCAAGCGTTTCATTCGCAACCGTTTTCTCAAAAAAAAAGTGACATTTCAACAAAAAACATATTCAAATAGTCTTTTTTCATTTTTCTACGTTGGTGACAACATTGTACTGGGTAAGAAACGTGGTTTTTCACATTTGTGCCGAAGCGCAGGTGCCACTGATCTGTCGGTTCTTTTACATGTACTGGTTCTAACAGTCTTTGTCCTCGCCGTTTCTTCCTCCTTTTTATGCGTTTTGGCATAATATGCAAAAACACATATTGTGACAACCCCGGTGTGCATGTGTGTTTGTATGTGTGTGTGTACATGTGTGTGTGTGTGAGTGTGTGTGCGTGTGCGTGGGTGTGTGTGTGTGCGTGTGTGTCTGTCCGGGTATTTCAACTCCGCACCCAAGCAAGCTCCGGCGCCAAAATTTTGGGAGTGGGTTCCCCGGCCAAGTGCCACCCCAGGACCACGGTACCAACCCTCAAGCACGTCTAA